GACTCTGACTTGTGCACTGGGAAACTAATGAGAGACTCCTGACATGGCCATCATGAATCAAGTTTGCATTCAAACTTGAGAACTCAGGAGACGTGAACATTGTGGAGACTAGGATTCTCACATGTACAGGAGCTCAATTAAGGTATCATCTTTCTCCTCTGTGGGACTACTTTACATCTTATCTAACCTTAACCTGATGTATAAAATTTGGTAGGCTTCCGAAACACATGGAGATCTTATCTTATCTTATCTTATCTTATCTTACTGACTCAGGCTTGCAAAATAAGTTGTACATGTCATAAAAAGACCATGGTGACTGACGTAGGAACTTGTTGAGCTCTCAGGGCCACCATAGAACAGGGACTCGAAGTGGACATGAACTTTATGATTCTAGATCACAAATCAAGGGAGTGTGAGTCAACATGCTTGGACTCACTTACACATTGGGTAATTGGGACACAGTTACACATGACTGTAATGACTCACATTACAGAGGTGAGTTATTGGCAGTTCTGGCTTCATGTTCATCGGGCTCCAAGTGGACAGAACCTTGACAAATCTAACAGGACGCTGGTACCTTCTTAAACATCAACAACTTAGAGCTCATCCTTTGGCCAACTGTCTGGAACAGTGCTGTACATTCATTATACATTCGCCCTGTAAGACTACGTTACTGCGTGCTGACAAAGGGCCAATCGCCCTGCAGTCAGGTTCTAGACGACCTAATACAATTTCTGCCACTACAGTTGGACTAAATAATATCATGATTGTACTGCAATGAAAACAATACCAGCCACACACTGTCACTGCTGGTTAAAATGTCTTTAACTTTGATTGCAAACACTGCTCCGAGGCTTGCTTACATTAGATGGCCTACAGTCTATTGTGTATGTCCATCACATCCTTGTTGGTTTGTTCCAACATATGGCCACAGTCTGTGTTGTCATTTCCTCCTTATATACACTCCTTAATACACTGAATCATCTTGCAGGTTTTCTGACTGATAGTCTGCATTTGGCACAAATCATTTAGATTGGTAACTTCCTGACTTCTATGCATCTATTAAAGCTGATAAAGACTGCTAATGGTCAGTCACCATTATATATTTACATATATATACAGGTGTTTTTAATTGAATAAGTTACTTCAGATTTTAAAGCCACTTTGTGTAGATTGGGTGATTTTAGCATTATGTGATTGAAGCATCTTGCAAATTAAAGCTACACTGATCCAACATTTTGATCAACCATTAGTTTGTCAACCAACAGCTAGTCTTTGTGTCTGCCTGTACATTACTGGCTCGGCAGCAAAAAGAAGATGGTTTATTAGTTTGTTCAGTGGAAACAGCCGTCCTCTGCTGCTGTAACTGGTGTGAATGAGTGTGGCATTGTGGGTCGCAAAAGAAAAAGGTTAGGTGAGGTTAAAGACACAAAAAATCTGAGGAATATGGCAGTGTGTGATCATTCTTTGCTCATCCATCCCTGTGATTTTCCAATTACGCATAGTCATTTGATTCATTGGTGATATTCTGGCGGCCAGACCTTTGACCTACTGGGCCTGGTCAGGCACAAGCCTAAAAACACTACATGGAGCCACCACCCTCACACGTGGAGCTCACCAGCTGCAGGATAGGCATTGGGATCAGATGTGCTGCAGGCAAGGGCAGAGACCTAGGCATGCTGACACCTGCCATCATAGACTGGTTCTTAGGATGCAGAATGTCACCTCTCTGGTGTGAAAGGAACTGGAGCTAGTGCAAGAGGTGGAGCAGGACCAACTATATCTAGAGTTGGACCTACTTCCTCACACAGACTGGTTCTGGAACCAAACTTGTGGACAGGGACTGAACATCTTTTCTAGAGTTACCAGAGGTACGAAGTGCCAGGTGGGTGTGGGAAGACTCATGGGCCCCTGGCTGAGTGTAAGAGAGTGTAAGAACTTGACTGTCTCAGAGTATCTGGCCTTCTTGGAGTCTCTGGGTGGGATATGGAAAAGGATACTGCCTCAGGACTCTATAGGTCTGCTGGGAGACTACAACATTCTCGTGCGAAAAACCTGGAGAGGTGTGAGAGGAATGGTTCGATCTGAACCTGAGTGGTGCTTTGTTATTGGATCTGTGTGCTAGCCATAGATTGGCCATAGCAAAGATCATTTTCAAGTATTATCTGATCTGAGGCCATATGCCTTGAGCAGCCCAGTGAAGAGAGGAACAGAGCCGTCAGCGATCACCACCTGGTGTTGAGTTGGATCAAATGCCAGGGGTAGCCAGTAGCGAGGGTGGACTGGTCATTTGTGATTTCACTGGGTGGTGGACACCATCAGTGAAGGAGGCCATTAAACTGAAGAAGAAGAGACAGACACGTGAGGACTGAGGTGTGTGTTTGTGTTTGTGTCTGTGCTGCTTTATAAGTTTGTTTAAATTTTCATTCATTCACACTCTTTGTTTCCAGCATAACTTGGAAATATACAGCCCCACTGATGCGTTTTATGGCTCTCAACTTTAAGGAAGATGAGCTTTAATGTTATGCCTTTGAAAGCCTCTGTAAGCTTTATTATAGCAGAGTATTTAAAGGCTCCAGGAGAGAGATAAGACTCTGGGATTTGATGCATTTACATAAAGAAAAAGCTCCGGCTTATGTTTGTATTACTATGGCACGAGCCTCAGCTTTAATAACATGGAATGAACTAGACAGGGATTATGGAATTAGCTAAATTAATGGTGTTTATTGGTGAATGCTCTCACTTTAATTGGTGCATATGTTGTCATTATTGAGACATTAGGCCAGAGTTCCTGATGCACCCTCTCTTTTAAATTCTCTCTGAGCACAGCGACCGCCTAAAACAACTGTTGAATATTCATCTGGATCATGAAGTGAAGTGTCTGATACAGATGACTCCAGGGGCTGGAGGGCAGATGTTTCTTAAAAGCATGCTAAGTTTTCCCTGCTACCTCAGCTCAATCAATTTACATTTGCACTGTCCATCCGCGCGTGCACAACAAGGGCATCATTTTAATTCTCGGGGTGTGTGTTGCTGCTTGTCACGAGTCCAGAGGTTCCCATCAACTCCACGTTAATGCATGTGCTGCTGTGCATTGTGCATTGCATACATTACAGCGCAACAATTAGATGCACATTCTCTGAGGTTATCCTCTAGACCACCTTCAGATTCTCCCTCGGTCAGACCTGCTTGTGTAAGTAAGACAGATATCCCAATTAGAAAAAGTGCACAGGACTCTCTTGTCCATTAGAGCACAATTTGATCAAAGCAAAGCAGTTTCTATGACTATTACAGGCCTTACAGCAATTTGAAGATGCTGCATACAGGCCAATTTGTCACTGTCTGCTCGTCTTGGACAGGACCCATCTGACCTCTGTGCAGCGTGTGCTCTTTTACCACTAGGTGGCAGTGGAGCTGCGTGTGGAGCATGTAAATGATACTCACTGCATTTTGACAAACTGGGAGGAAAGAAAAGTAAAACTGAGACTGAGACTTTCTTTTCATTTAAACAAATACTGATATAATGTCCAACCATTCAACCACTGGCATTACTGCTGTAGGATTACTACTAGGCCTACCACCATTACTAGTGCTCTTACTATGACATATCCCACCACCACTGCTATTACTGTTACTACTCATGTGTGGAAGAATTATCTGCAACATTCTTAAATCTTAATTTGAAGATTAATTAGTAACATTATGTGTCTCATATAAAGTATTATAAAATCAAAATGCTCAAAGAACTGAATTCCATACATTTTTAGTGTGTGTACCTGGGTTGTTCTTCAGTGGAAAGTAACTATGTCGTACTGTGCTTGTGTTTCCATGCTATGATACTTTACACTTCTGCTCCACTGTATTTCAAATGGAAATAATGTACTTTTAAATCCACTCCATTTATTTGACAGCTGTAGTTACTTTATAGATTCAAATCTTTAGTCCCAAACTGCCCAACACTGTATAAAAATATAGTTAATATGAACTGTACCTACCACAGCTTCAAATTTAAATAGCTACTTACACATTAATGCATCAATAATAGTATTCAGTCTCCTACAGGACTTCTATTAAATTTTGGTGTTTCCTTTTACTTACTTCTGTCAGAGCTGCAGTTACTTTACATATTAAAAATTTCCTCACAAAACACAGGCCCATCTCATCAATTGACTGCATTATCATAGATGCAACTGTCAAGCACCCCCAGCTTAAAATGCTGCATATACATGAATGCCTCAATAATTATAATCCAATAATAAAGTATAGTGTATAATAAAGTAACATAGGGGCCATTTTTTCTTTATGTTGAAGTACTTTTTTATGATTTTACTTTTGGTAAAACTTTGAATCCAGATTTGGAGTTTGGGAAAGTTTTGCATTAGTTTACTGTTTTGCTAAAAATGGTGAATATTTCTGCCTCTGCACTCAAGTAAGTTACTGCTGTTGACAGCCATATTTGCTATTACTAAAATACAGTATTTTGAATGTGCCACTATAAACAAATGAGATTGTACTTCCTTATTGTAGTTACTTCCATTCAGTGTCCATATCACTTATCCTCATAGTAGCCTACTTTTAGTACAATTTCCTGATTTTTCTGATTTTGTTTTAATAATAAAAGTAGCCGCTGCAGCAGAGCAGTGTAATGCAGCTCACCTCTGTATATTGGTACCAACAGAACAGACACATTTTTTGTTTAGAGTTTGTATCTTTCAAAAACATTTTTTGAAAAGAACCTTTTTTAATGTGATGCTCTGGAAAAGAAGCGCACATCTGGACGCGCTCATTTCCTCCGAGCGGGGGTGCACCTCACGCCGCCCTCTCCCTCTCCCCCACCCCCCTGCAGCACAGCAGTGGTACGCTCCGTGTTGGATGCTTTAGCTCATTGACCGGCGGACAATCCTCATCAGTACCAGCAGAGCCCCGGAGCTTCCGACAAACCGGCCCTTCATTCCCCCACAAAGCGAGCGAGCAGCCGCCTCCAGCCTCTCCGCCCCGCCATGAAACAGACTCTGAGCGAACTGTTGAGGATGAGTAGGATTTGCCGGATGGTTTTTGCCACTTGTTTGGGATCCTTTATTCTGGTCATCTTTTATTTCCAAAGTATGTTCCAACCAGGTAGGATCCCTCTCCGCTCCTCTCTCTGGGATATGTGTGTGTGTGTGTGTGTGTGTGTTTGGTGTGTGTGTGTGTGTGTGTGTGTGTGCGTGGTGTGTGTGTGGTGTTGTTGTGTGTGTGTGTGTGTGCGCGCGCGCGTAGCTATGTGTGTACTGATGTATGGAGTCTGGTCTGGCAGCCTCCTGGCATGTTGACAGATCGATTTGTTCAGGCTGTACAGTAACGCAGCAGATGAATAATTGATATACTGTGTCGTGTAAAAGCGTAAATCATCCCGCAGGTGTGCTCTGGCTCAGATCACTCTCTTCCATGCTGTAATTACAACACCCTGGATTGATCGTCTTGTCACACTGATTCTCCGGGTTTCGCTGAGCGGTTCTTTTTCTTTGTGGAGGTGTGCGTTTGGTTTGGGTGTGATTGGACGGAGCGAGCAACCAGGCGCCGTTCGCTCGATCCCCTCAGCTGACAAGTGGCACGGAGAGATGGTGAGCGAGGCTTTTTGTCTCCAGAAACGTGGCATGGCGAGGGGGATTCACGGTGCACGGGCGGCAGCGGGCTTTGGCAAAGTGCGCACTTTTCAGCCTGAAGATCCAAAAATAGATCCACCTGGAGGTTCCCACCATCTGGACCAAGAGGAAAGACTGAGTGGAGAAATGAATTTGGAGTCCAGTCTAAAAATAAACCATCTTTAGGGAGAATTTAAAGCCGATGTCCTGTCTGATCTTTGCACGTTTCATTTACCACACAGCAACGAAAACCCACTTTATAACCCACTCTGTATCAGTGAGACTCCGGGGGAAGAAGGCGCATCAAAGTGTGTGAGGTTAGATTTGATTTGTTGCCTCTGCGCCACGATCAAAGAAACCTGCGGTTGGAAAGCAAAAGCGCAGCTAGTGGACAGTGGTAGACTCAGTGCTGACCTACTGTACAACAGGTTTACTGTACGGGGGGGGGGGTTTCTGTGTATTTTGCTTTCCATGAAGACAAACTGGATCATTTCCAGCACAAATTATTCTCACGTTCTGCTGTTGGAGACGGACTCTGATTCTGCTGGGCTCAGTGCCGGAATCACTCCTGTCATACTCCAGGTTGCATCCTCCATCTGTCACTGGTGGCTCTTCAGTGTCAAGGTGCAGAAAACACACAGGACTGTGTGTCAATCTATAGGTGAGGATAAAAGATGGGGGAGATGAATCTGAGAACAGGAACCTCGGATGAAGCTGAACAGAGGGGCTGCCACATCTCTGATTCAGGAGGCATTTCTCTCTAGATGAACCAGCTCTGTGTGAGTCACCTGTGTTGTTGCTGGCAACGACTGATGTTTCTAATCCCCACAAAGACAATCACAATGATGCACTAACTGCAGGGAACTTCTGAACCGCTGTTTGGAAAGGGTTAGATCAGACAGCTCCAAACCTTCTGCATGTCAGCAGCCTCCGAGCAGATCGATCACTCCATCACATTTAGCCCTTTGTTTGTTGACGCAGACTTTACACAGCTCACTGCTGCATGTGGTAGAGTCACTGTTTTTCCTTCAAGTATTGGAGTGGTAACCCTTCCCTCTGTCACAAACTGAGCTTGTTCATTTGATGCCTCAAGTAATGGTGCATCAAAACTCTGAGACAGACGCACACGTCACACATCCTGAGGTTTACCTCTAAGTTATTCACATACGGAAATGTACAGTGTGTTATCCTCATTGTGGCATTGATTCTGCGTCAGGTCAGTCACCATAGAGTGAACACAAACTCTTCACTCTCCGTTAGACGTCTTAGGAACAAGTGTTATAAAACTGCTATAAAAATGTGGGTGATTAGTGACAACAATCACAGATACAGGGCAGGTGAAAGTTCGTTGTATGTAACCAGGTTTTACAGCTGAGAAATAATGCATGATTTCCACAGGGAACCTCTGAAAGGTGTCATCGGTTCAAAACAATTGTTATAGGACATTCTCATGATATTGTGTTCTTGTAATATACACACTGGGTTATGTACAGATTTTTTTTTTTAATGGGGTAGCCAATTTCCTCATTTCCAGTCTTTATGCTAAGCTAAGATAATCTGCTGTAGCTTTATAGTCACTGTACAGACATGGCACATTTTCATTTAATATATAAAAAAGCTTGGATATCAAACTGTTGAGCAGTTCTTTTAAAGTTGTAGTTTTACCTGCTGAGGTTTTGAAATGAGATTTGTCTCTGACATTTCTGCTTTCAACTAAAATCATTTTAGGTGAAAGGAATTTAATTAACAGTGTTCACAGCATTTAAAAAATAATATTATGACATTTTGTGGCAACATCTTTTTTCCCAATTTTCTTTGGAACTAACAGTCCCACGGAAAACAGTTGGCAGAGTGTTGGGTGGGTGATCTAGAGTAACAGTTTCACTGATTCTGATGCTCAATTCTCAGCGAGAACACTAATGATAGTTCATTGACCTCCACTGACCTGTGTGAAAAATAGTGAGTGAGAAAATCCAGCGATGAGCCGAGACATGATGATACATGAAGAGCTGAATAAGCTCCGGGATGCACTATACAGTGAGAGAACGGTAGGTTCTCGTAGTAAGAGTGTTGGATGTTGGAGAAATGTGCAGGTGTAAAGACCTGGGCCACTTTGACCAGGTACAGATCATTATGAGCAGACTACTGGGTCACAGTGTCTCTGAAACAGTGGTCTGAGGAGGGATGATCCACCAACCAGAGACAGGGTGTTGGGGGATGTGCTGGAACAAGTCTTACACAAGGTGGCTCCGTCCTTTAAGTCCATCAGGACTTTAAGTCCAACTTACAAGATCTGCTGCTGACGTCTTGGTGCCAGATACCACAGGGTCCCCACAGGTCTTATAGAGTCCCTGTCTCGGCAGGCAGCAGAGCTGTTGTGGTGGCAAACTAAAATGCTCTGATTCATCAGTGTATATGTTGTATATTGTGTATATATATTTTTTTTTTGGGTGAAATGACCCTTTCAGACTTCGAGGCCCCTCCACCTGAGAGGGCCCTGTACTCAGATATGATTTAGTTGAGGATTACATAACTGTATCCTGTCACAGGAACAATGCACAGAGTGAGACCTCTCTTGTACTGTGCATCATTAAATCAGCTTCCAGGGAGAGAATTGATTGTAAAAATGTAACCGAGACTCAATTAAACCCCTGTCAACGACCCCTGGATTCTGCTCTCAGAGTTGTGCCAATCGCCACAGGCTTTGCATCAGCTTCCTTCCAATACACACAAACATACACACACACATATACACACACACTCACACTCACACACACAGACAGGTCACAAAGTGGATGTTTTATTTCGTCATGGCGATGACAGGGTGCTGGCTCCAGGATGCTCTGATTGAAGAAGAGATGTCTAAAGATGAGTGTTTGTGCAGGAGCTTGGATATAACTGTTAATGATGCAGTGTGTATTTAGGTGTGATTACACAGGTGAGACAATGAGTTGTGTGTGTGAGTGTGTTTAATGTTGTTGACTTCCCTTATAACCCCTCATCTTATCTCTGCCTGTTTACCGTCTTTCTTAAATGACTTCATCACTGTTTCGCAATCTCCCTATCTTGATTTTCCCTGTTTTCACTCTCCCTATTCTTCCCTTTCTTTTTCCCGCACACACAAACACACACACACACACACACACACACCCACACACACACACACACACACCCACACACACACACACACACACCCACACACACACACACACACACCCACACACACACACACACACACGCACACACGCACACACACATTCAGACACAACCATGCGCAGCAGCACCATTGTTGTCCATCAGATAAAGTTCCAGGCAGCGTCTCCCTGGTTCAGGCATGTTTAGCAGGCCTGGGAATACTGTCTGGCCTCCCAATGCAAACTCTCACCTCTCCTCCAGGACTTGTGGGGTCATGACCTCTTGTAAAAGGGACAGAGGAGGAGGGGGCACAGTGGTATCACACTCTGGCCTTAACTAACACACATATCTCAAAACTTAAAGGCTGGTTTAAACTGTGTTTAAACTGCAAAATGTCAGATTTATGACCAAAAAGAAGCCGCACTGCTGTGACTTTGCTTTTACTTCTCTACATCTTGTGTGGAAGCCGCAGAGCGAGCAGAGGTGGAGTAACTGAGGACACTGATTTTAGCCTGCAGTGCTGTATTAGATTTTTTATGGAGTGATGTGTCACTTGTTGTTAAAGCAGACAGACTGCATGGCAGCAGGGAAACATTCTGTAAGCTTGTTATCATGCTCAGTGTCTAGTCAGGCTGTTTGTACCTGTCTGGTTAAGGTATATTCCAACTTTTTGTTAAACAGTAAGCTTGGTGTGGTGACAAACAGGAGTAAGTGAGTGAGAAAATTATAATTTTCACTCCACAAGAATAAAGTATAAAGTTTTTTCATTGTACTGGAAAAATACCTGACATGAAAAAGAGTTATTTTAATTTATTATGCATTACATTTTAAATATAAAGATGTTATTGTAAACTTGTAACCCAGTGACAAACCCAAGGCATCAGACAATACAAGACAATAAGACAATATCAGTAACAGGTTGGATTTGAACCCAGGCCGCTGCAGTTATGACGAAGCCTTCATGGTATGTGCTCTACCAGGTGAGCCACCGGGCGCCCCTATAAAGGTCAAATCTACTGGCACAAACAATGTCTCCTACAGTTGAAAAAACCCTTGTATGATTAATGACTATGACTATGGTTGAACGTCATAAAGCTGGATTACATTCGTTAGGATCACGATGTGAACTGAACCGGACATCCTGTACAGAACAGCACAAACACATGTACTGTTACATGGTTTCAGTCTAGTGTCAGCTGGTTTCAATCTATTATCAGATGGTTTCAGTCTAATGTCAGCTGGTTTCAATCTAGTATCAGCTGGTTTCAGTCAACTGTCAGCTGGTTTCAGTCTATTATCAGCTGGTTTCAGTCTAGTGTCAGCTGGTTTCAATCTAGTATCAGCTGGTTTCAGCATAGT